AATCACAAAACAGTAAGGATTATCAATGTATATCCTATATGCAATTCTAATAAAATTCCATTGGCAATGTAAGCCACCTTAATAACAAAAAAAAAAAAAAAAAAAATTTAAGATTAATTTTAAAGTTAGAATAAGTACTATATTAGGATTAGAATTAGAAATAATATAAAATTAGATACTAAAAACTTTTACTTTATTATACAAAGTAAGTTTTTATAATAAAATTTTAAAATATTAGTAATTTTTAATTTTTTTTAATTTTTTTTTAAAAAGTCTTTATACTTGTTATATAGAAATTCTATGATTTTATTAGTTAATTATATAAACTAAGTATATATCTATAGAAATACAAATAGAAATTCTTAATTTATAAATTTATATATAAATTTTTCTTTTTAAATTACTAAAACTTTTTATAATAATTAGGTTTAAATCATAGATAAATTAGTCAGAGTTTTAAATCTTGCTATATAGTTTAAAATTATACCTTATAATATATTGTATATAAAAATTTTTTTATAAATTTTAATTAAATTATTAATGAAGATAGAAATATGATTTTGCTTTGGCTTTGCTTTAAAACTTTTATAATAATAAGATTTTGAAAAAATATTTAGCATATATATAGAGCTAATATAGCTTTATAAAGTTATTAGTTATATTTCTTTTAAATTTTTTAGAAAAAAAATTATAGTTAGTTTAATAATCTTAATATAGTAGTTAGATTGTTAGACTATCATACAAGAAGCCTGAAGTTCAAATCTTACTGTTGATGAATTTGAATAATTACCTAGATCTTTGTATCTAACTTATAGGAAACTCTGTTTATTTCTAGAGTTGTAACTCTATAAATCATGTTGTACTAATATTATCTGAATATTGAAAATATGATACAACATTCAGAGAGACATAATATTACATGAATAAATTTTAATAAAATCTATAAGCAGAAGATCTACATAGTAGAAATTCTGAGTTAGTAAAGTAGTACAGCTTTCAATAGTTATACCAACTAATACTTGATTCAGAAAGATATAGTGTTCAAAGTCTTTAATCAAATTAGATACATATAAGTTCATATTACAGTGAGAATTGCTATATGTTATGATAACACCAACTTGGCTTAGTAGCTTACTAGATTAGGAGGATCTAACTTATAATAGGCCTCAGCGAGATCTGTAAACAAAACTAGTAGAGAGCTATAGTAGAAACTAGAGTTGTATGAATATTACAAAGATCTAAGCTAAATGAATCTGTAAAATGAGTATAGACTACTTCAGTAGGTATGCTTCTGAGATTAATTGGAGCTCTGTATGCTTACAATATATTAGGCTATATGTATTCTAAGAAAATCTAAATTATATAGTAAAGAGATCTATAGTTAAGTTAGCTAGTTTAAATAATCAGATATAGTAGTAATATTAGTTTGTAATAGAGAAAAGAGTTAATGATCAGAGTGTTTAAATAGGTAACCTACAAGAAGATTGCAAATATAGTAGTATAGTATAAAACTAACAGATAGTTAATTGTCTGTATAGCAGATTACTTAAATTAGATAATAACTAAAGTTATATATATAGCTTGTTATATACTCATTATATAACTATAAAATCTTAAGAGTCTATCTTTGTAGTAGCTTTGTAATAACAAATTAATAAAATAGATTAAAAATTTGGCGCCTAATTTTTGTGTTACATTATTTGGACCAATCAAAATTAACTATTAAATTCTAAATTTGGCGCTTCTTAGTAAAAATTTATAATGTCATTATCTAAATTTGGCGCTTTTTTAATAGTAAAATAAAAAGTAGATATCTTTAGCTGTCCCGCACTGTATGAATATTATGACAAAGAAGTTAAGCGTATTTAAAATTTAATTAACCATCAAGACCCAAGTTTATTGTAAAGCAATGAAAAAATTAAGTGCAAAAAAAACTAACACTTGATACAGACATCTAAATTCGATATTCATAATTGTAAATAAATTAATAGTGGGAAACAAATTAGGACAGCAATCGCAGATAACGTCTCTTAAGAAAAGCTTCACAAATGTCATAATTATATATTATCGATTTATCATTAGTCGACCATTGTATCATTGTATACTATAAGAATGAAAGCACTGGCAGATATTGAACTAATTTAGCAGCGGGGGATTTTTTTTCACTCTGGGATGATTTTGTTTTTTTAAAGCACATTACGATGTATCCATGCTATCACCAACATGCCCTGAGCCAGATTCCTTACTTTCCAATTCATTTTGATAAATATTATATTGATCGCACCATGGCCCGCTTTTAGTATCTTTTACAAAGGCATCAAATTTAGGCGTACTTCCAGCTGTTCAAAGGAAAAATTAATTAATTAAATTTCAATCATATTTACTATGGATATAATCAAATCGCGCTACTGAGCTGTGACAAGCTATGACATATGTTGAGTAGCAATTTGACTTATACCTAGATATAAACATATTACACAAGAAAGGTAGTATACCTTGTTCGGCAAGTTTATTCAAAACTACCGCAGTTCTAACAGCGGATCGACATAATTCATTATTTTTATCAATTTCCGATTTGACTGCGTTATCTTTCATTCTATATGACAAGGTTCCCTTTAATGGTTCCACTGTCTCATCCAACCCTATTTCAAAATCAATAATGTGTTTAATTACAAGACAATCTCAATATTTGTATTTAATAAAAAATTGTACAAACTTTGTGAAACGGCAGTTGGAGCCACATGGGCCAACCGTATTAACATCGTATGCGAAAGGATAGCGATATCATGTTGATCGGACAATCCATCGATCACGCGTGTAAGAAAGTTGAAAATTTCAAGCTTGTCAAGACAAGTTTCGAGCAATGTGTACATGCATTCGTATGCAGACTGGCATGTTATAAGAATGTTGATTTAGCATTAAATAATTCAAAGAAAGAACATTCTACAAAACTAAAGATGGAATTTGCCTTTCTGATGTCAAGACCATCGTCTACTTTGTGTTTAAATGGTCCCATCTCCACCATATGAATGAGATCATCCTAAATATAATAAAGGAACGTGTCAATTAAATATATACATTATTCTATTATATAAAGTAATTAAAGTTAACCTTAACACGTGTTTCTTCATAAAGTAACGGTAAAAGTTGATCTAAAACATCTC